TTTTTTTTTACTCTGATTCAATTATATTCCATATAACTTCAATATAACTTCAATATTATCATAATATTCAATTTTCTTTGTAATCTCAACAACTCTAAATCCTAAAAGGAAATTATACAATTTTTTTGTGATAATAAAAAATCAATAAGTTTCATTACTTAAATATTACTCCCTCCATACTAGAATAATATATTTTTTGTTTTATCTTCAAATGAAGGATTTCAAAGCAATTTCTATCTTTACTTATTTTATACTTAAAAAATAACTAAGAATAAATATCTATTTTAGTCAGAAGATAAATAATTAAAGTTAAGAGATAATTATAGGATTAAAGCAGAAAAAATTCTTTATCTTCCTTAAAATAAAAAAATGACTATTATTCTAGGATAAATTGTAAATAAAAAATATTAATTACTCTGAAACAAAGAGAGTATACTAATTTTTTTTGTTAAAACATATCTACTAACAAGTATAAGACAAAATATTAAAATAAAATAAAAGAAACTTACAAAACTTGAAAATTGAAACCCAATATGGCAATATATAATTCATATAAAAAAATATACTGTTGTTTTTAGTTTTCATCAAGAAGTTAATGGTCCCTTTGGTGGTCCCTTTGTCTTTAAGCTTTCAATGATGAGAGCAGTGCTGCAGTTGCTTGCATCAGGCCATAAGAAAAGTCTCTTTTTTCTCTTTTTTCTATTTTTGAAGTTGTTAGGTTGAGGTTGATTGGTTGAAGGAGATCGGTACTGAGACAATGGGATTGGATATTAGAGAAATGGCATAGAATACACGAGAACCTGTTTTTCTTCTTTTTTTACATAATTCAGTTGTAAACCTTGAGATTGGTGGGTTTTAAATAATAATAAATAGTTAAATTGTTAAAATAAATAATGGATTATATAAACTATATTTGGGCTCCTAAAGCAACCAATTATTATTGGATCTTTTTTTATTTTACGTATTTTAACAATTAAAAATATAATATTTAAATTTTAATAATAATAATTAATTAATTATTTAAATTTTAATAATAATAGAGGTATTATCATATTTTATTTATTTATTTATATTAAAAAAATAAAAAATAATAATAATTAATTTATGATAATTTTAAATACAAAAAATAACAATTATTCATTCTAATCAAATTTAATTGTTTTATTTTATCTATTTACGGTTATCAAAAAATTCATTTAGGTCTCACACATTTACGTTTCTATTGTTAAGAAATTCATTTATTACAATAAATAAGATTTATCCTTCTATTTTCATTTTTACTTATAAAGAAAAAATATTAATGCATTTTTAAAAAATAAGAGTAAAAATGAAATATTAACATTTAATATCGTATTAAAATAAAAAATGGGATAATTAAACCAAATCATTCTTATTTTGAGAAGAAAAAATAATTCAAAAATAATAAACTACCCTTATTAAAAAAGAAAACTAATTTAAAAATAATTTTTTTATATTATCTCATTTATTTATTTAATAATAAATTTAATGTTATTTTTGAATATCATGAGTTAGTAGAAAAAAAAAAAGCCTAGCCAAGTGATTTCGTTGGATTCCCAATTTCTTAATATTCAATTCTCTAGAAACTTATTAAAAGTGTATAAATAAACAGCAAATACGAATGGAAAAGCATAAGAAACAGAACAGAAAAGGCAAAGCAACAAAACGTATTGTTAATTTCGCTCTTGCAATGAAGAAGCCAGAGCTCGTCTTCATCCCCGCACCGGTCATGGGCCACCTCATAAGCGCGGTGGAGGCTGCAAAACTTCTCGTTGATATCAATGACCGCCTCTCAATCACGGTTCTCATAATCAAACCACTACTCGAATCCGAGGTCACTGGCTATGTCCAATCCTTAAGCGCCACCACATCTTTCTCCGACCGCATCAGATTCATCGACCTCCCCCAGCCTCCTAAAGATGAGCTCGCACACATCCCACGTGCCAAATTCTTCACTACTTACGTCGAGAGTCATAAGCCCCTAGTCAAAGAAGCCATCTTCACGCGCTCCGAAGAATCAGTACTCACTGGCTTCGTCGTCGACATGTTTTGCTTGTCGATGATGGATTTGGCTACCGAACTCGGCGTGCCTAGCTACGTGTTCTTCACCTCAAACGTCGCTTTTCTTGGTCTCTTGTTCTATTTGCAGACTCTGCAGGACGAGCAAAACATGGACGTTTCCGAGTTCGACGGATCGGATTCCGAGTTGCCCTTCCCTGGTTTCGTCAACCCACTTCCGGCCAAGGCCCTGCCTACTTCTGTCATACAAAAAGACTCGAGTCCCATAATCAGCGAGATGGTCCGGAGACTTAGACAGACCGAGGGTATTATGGTAAATTCATTCGTGGAGATTGAATCTCACGCGCTCGAATCCCTCTCTTATGCTGAGAATATTCCACCGATTTTCCCTGTGGGACCCATATTGAATCTGAAAGGCGACGGCCATGATCAGTCCTGTTCGGGTGAGTTTGATGTCATGCAATGGCTTGACGATCAACCTCCATCATCAGTTGTGTTCCTATGCTTCGGGAGCATGGGAAGCTTCGGTGAAGATCAGGTGCAAGAGATCGCACGTGCATTGGAACAGAGCGGACATCGATTCTTGTGGTCCTTACGCAAACCCCAACCGAAGGGCACCATATCACCACCAACAGATTATTCAAATTTGGAGGAGGTTTTGCCAGAAGGGTTCTTAGATCGAACGGTTGAGATTGGAAAGGTGATTGGATGGGCCCCACAAGTGAGTGTTCTGGCCCACCCTGCAATCGGAGGATTCGTATCGCATTGCGGTTGGAATTCCACTCTGGAGAGCATATGGTTTGGTGTTCCAATTGCGGCGTGGCCAGTATATGCAGAGCAACAATTCAATGCATTCCAATTGGTCAAGGAGTTAGGATTAGCAGTGGAGATTAAGATGGATTACAACAAGGGTTTGAGGTTAGAGATTGAACCACCCATCGTGACTGTGGAAGAGATAAAGAGAGGAATAGTAGGACTAATGGAGCCAGAAAGTGACGTAAGGAAGAAGATGAAGGTGATGAGTGAAAAGAGTAGAAAAGCGTCCGTCAAGAAAGGCGGTTCTTCGTACTCCTCGCTCCAAGATTTCATTGGTCATGTTCTAGGTAACATGCCGTGAATTGATGTTTATTGATTGAGGTCAAATTGCCAAAGTTTTCAGTGTTATAAAATTTCCCCAAACTTTGAATTTAAAAAGTTTTCAAAGAAATACCTCATTATTTTTGGCATAACCTGTTGGAATTATTGTTAGAAATGTGGTATTCAAATCTGCAAAAAATGATGAAATGAAGGTGGCATGAAATGGCAGCAATGAGGCTACAATTTGACAGCAAATGAAGTTGCAATCTGACAGTAAATATGGCAGTAATTTAACTGCAAAAATGATGAAAATGGAGTTGTAAAATGACAGCAAAAATGTGCAGCAAGCTAAGGTGCAAATGTTGATGAAATGAAGTTGCAACGGGTAACAAATAAAATGCAAATGCATCAGAAATGAAAGCTGCAAAGTGGCTGCAGAGTAACAGCAAGCATGCGGGAAAAAGTGGTTATACTTGTCAAATTTCAAATGTACTTCTATTGTTTTTTAATGTAAAATAGTTGTTTAGATTTGAATTTTGAATTCAATTTTTATTTTTTTATAAATAGGACACATTGTAATAAAAAAATTTGAGTTGAAGTCATACACTATTCTCCATTTTAGTTTATGCTCTGCTATTCATCTTCCTCCCGATCTGCTCTCTCCATTTCTTTGCGAAGAAAACCAACATAACCTAAAGATAATTCAAGGGATTTTATATAAATTTATTGAAATTTAGTATGAATAAAGATACAATATTAGCATTTATTTTAAGGATATAATCCTTTTTCTTTACTAATAAAAGTTATCACATTTAATAAATTTTTTAATTAAAAATAAAACATTTCCAGTCTTACCAAAAAATAATTAAGTAGATGTGCATAATTATATACTTAATTAAAATTTTTTGAAAAGTAATAGTCTTTATCAGCAAAATTATAGAGGAAATATCGTTAATTAAAAACATTTTTGAAAGCTAATAGCCTTAATTTAATTAAAAATTTTTTGAAAAGTTGTGTCTATATGCAGAAAAGAAGTAATAAAAATTAATTAATTTTATAGTTAAATATTTGGTAGTTCCATCTTCCAGGGCTCAAATCGGTTCCTCAGTTTTTGAGCTGATACTGAATATGGATCCATTTTTGTTTGATTTTGGACAGAACTTGAGGATTTGGGGCAAGCCCATTATAACCGAACTAAGGCTCACTCTTCAGTGCGATTTTTTGGTCACCGATTGGGTAGATTATTTTTTTTTTTGCCAAGTCTTATCAACCTAGCAGTAGAGGAAACAAAAGAAGAGAATTTACATCTGAAAAATTGATTGTTTCTAAGTAAATAGAGTTCCATGGCGGAATCCACAATGCTTCTCATTGTGTTCTCTTCCTCTTAGAATCTACCGCCCTTTTACACAGTAAATTTGCTTCTTCCTTGCATTTTACGTGTCTCTGTCTCTCATACTCATCATGAGGTCTCCCAGAGCACTCGCCTAGGTCTCTCTACATTCTACATAATTTTATCCTTTTTGTTCCAATAAAATGTACTTGTATCCTCAAGTAAATGGAACTATGCAATCTCTAGAGAAGATATTTCTTAGTATGGGAGGTTGGATGTTTGGCTTTCACTATGCTTAGAAGTTCATTATTGTTGTTAAGATGTGAACACAATTATATTTAGAATTATTGTAAATATTTTATACTTTAGAATATTCTCTTTGTATACTTTATATCTTAGAATATTCTCTTTGTAAACACATATATATAGGTCCTTGTACATACAGTATGATTCAAGAAAGCAATAAACCTTTCTTCATATTATTCTTCTTTTCTATTTTCTAACATGGTATCAGAGCTATAAGCTCTTGATTTTTTTCTCTTATCATCGCTATTGGGTTTTTTGGAGTTGGGTTTTCAATTCCATTCCAGATCTGAACTTTGTCGTTGGGATCTCTTCTCCTATAGATTAGATTGTTTATCCTTGATTCTCAGGCCCTTTCTGAGGTGTTTTGTTGGTTTGTTGGTTTGTTATTTCAATCTTGGCATATATTTCTTCATATTTTTAGAGTTTTTCAGTATTGTGAGTAAACTGATTCTATGGCGAGTTTTGAAAGGATTGTAACTCATTCTGCTACTGCTATGGTTGCCAAAGAAGTGATAGAACAACCTAATGTCAACCTTGAATCCCTAAAACAGGTGATATTAAATCTTCTTAATGCTCTTACTGCCTTATCTACTACTCCGTGTACCAAACCTTGGTATTTCGATTCTAGTTGTTATAACCATATGTCTTCAATTACTGCTCATTTCTCTTCAATGTCACCTAATAATTCCTTTCCTGATATTTATTCTATTGATAGTTCCCCTATGAATGTTAGTCACATTGGCAATGTTTCTACAAAGTCATTGACTTTACCAAATGCCCTTTTAGTTCCAAAACTTAGTTATACTCTTTTATATGTCGGTCAATTATGTGATCTTGGTCTTGAAGTAACATTTTCTGCTCATGGTTGTCATGTGCAGGACCCACAAACAGGATAACTTCTTAGAACTGGTCACAAGGTGGGGCGTTTGTTTGAGCTCAACTATCTGCATATTCTTGATAATAAAATGGATACACCATCATTGCCAAATGATCGATTCATCCAAACCCTACTTTGTGCTGTTGAATTAGAGTCTTTGCAAATTCCATATCAACAAATCTTCCAAGCCTGTGTTGCTACTAACATTTCTCATCTCCATTTGTGGCACTCACGACTCGGACATACCTCAATCGATAAACTTCGTCCACTTATCTCTCATGGTTTATTAGGATCAATTCTGAATGAATCTGTGCATTGTGTGTCATGTCAATCTGCAAAGCAACCAACTTTATCTTTTTTGAGTAGTCATTCTCATTATATTGCTCTTTTGATCTCGTGCATTTTGATATTTGGGGTCCATCTCTTACACCCACCATGGGGGGTTCCAGGTACTTCGTGTTATTTGTTGATGATCATACTCGTTTTTCCTGGATATACCTTATGAAAAATTGCTCTGAATTATCATAAATTTATATTGATTTTGCTACCATGGTCAAAAGTCAGTTATCTAAAATTATCAAAGTTTTGAGAACTGACAATGTTACTGAATATCTTGGTACTAAACTTCAATCATTTTTGAAAGAACAAGGTACATTGCCACAACAATCTTGTTCTTATACTTCTGAACAAAATGGGCAAGTCGAATGCAAACACAGACACATCCTCAATTTTGTTTGTGCTCTGCTTATTTCATCTTCTTGTCCAGAGCAATTTTGGGGTGAAGCTGCTCTTATAGCTGTTTATCTTATTAATCGCATTCCATCATCAATCCTTAATAACAAGTCTCCATACGAGCGTCTACATGGTATTCTTCCTGCTTATAATCTTCTTACGGTTTTTGGTTGTGCATGTTTTGTTCTTCTTCCACCTCATGAACATAACAAGTTAGAACCTAAAGCTTGATTATGCTATTTTTTGGGTTATGGGATTACACAAAAAAGATATCATTGTTAGGATCCTGTGTCACAAAAACTCCGAGTTTCATGTCATGTTATCTTTTGGGAACACACTGTGTTCTCATCATTGTCAAACTTCAAAGTGTCATCCTTTCATCAACCTCCATTTTTTACTAATCCTTCTATTGAGCTATTTCCTAGTGATTCTAATGCAGGTACATCTGATGAGCTCTACAATGCCTCACCACGTGCTCCAACTAGTTCTGTAGAAGATGATCTGCTTGCTGGTAATGCATTAGATAATTTTGAGCCTTCTTTTACTTCCTCGTCTATATCACCTGTTGATTCTACAAATGAGCTTGTTGTCCCATCCTTGAGTCATTCTACTCGGGTAAGAAACCCTCCCAACTACCTTCGTGATTATCATTGTTTTCCTACTATTACTTCGTTACATAAGCCTCAATCCTATCAAGAGGCCTTTTCTAACCCTCTTTGGCAACAAGCTATGTAAAATGAATTACAAGCTCTTGAAAACACTTGTACATGGGATTTAGTTGATCTCTCTGCTGAAAAATCTCTAATAGGCTGTAAATGGGTGTACAAGATCAAAACACAATCTGATGGTTCTGTGGAGCGTTATAAGGCACGCTTGGTTGCCAAGGGTTTTACACAGGAGTATGGAATTGACTATGAGGAGACATTTGCTCCAGTTGCTCGTCTTACATCTGTGCATAGTTTGCTTGCTATCGTTGCTTTGTGGAGATGGAAATTGTTTCAGATGGATGTGAAAAATGCTTTTCTTAATGGTGACCTAGAAGAAGAAGTTTATATGAAACCACCTCCTTGGCTCAACCATCCTCCAAACAAGGTATGCTGATTACACCGTGCATTAAACAGGTTGAAGCAATCCCCTCGAGCCTGGTATGCAAAGTTTAGTACTACTGTGAGTGAGTTTGGTTTTACTTCCAGTCCACATGATACAGCTTTGTTCATTCGTAAGACTGCTCGGGGTGTGGTTCTTTTACTTCTTTATGTTGATGACATGATTATTACTGGAGATGATGTCGCAAGTGTTGAGGAGTTAAAACAATCTCTCAGTCAGAAATTTAAGATGAAAGATCTTGGTGTTCTACGCTATTTTTTGGGGCTTGAAGTGACCTCTTCAGATGATGGCTACCTGCTTTTTCAAGTAAAGTATGCCTCTGATCTTATTTCTAAAGCTGAACTCAATGATGGTAAAAGTGTTTCTACACCTCTTGAACCTAATCTCAAGCTTACACCTATGGATGGCTTTCACTTTCTGATCTCACTTGCTATCAGCAATTGGTTGGTAGTTTGGTTTATCTTACTACAACACACCCTGATATAGCATATGCAATCCACATTGTTAGTCAGTTTATGACTGATCCTCACTCCACTCATTATGCAGTAGTACTTTGCATTATTCGCTATGTTAAGGGAACATTATGTCATGGACTCCATTTTTCTGCCAACTCCTCCCCTGTGCTTCGCACTTACTCTGATGCTGATTGGGTTGGTGATCTTTTGGATCGTAGATCTACCACCAGTTATTGTCTTTTCCTTGGTAATTCTCTTATCTCTTGGCGAAGTAAGAAACAAACTATTCCATCTCGCTCTAGTACTGCAACTGAATATAAAGCTCTTGGGGATACCACATCAGAACTTCTTTCATTACGGTGGCTTCTTGAAGATATGGGCATTCCTCAACCTTCTTCTACTGATTTATATTGTGATAATCAAAGTGCTATGCAGATTGCTCATAATGATGTCTTTCATGAATGCACTAAACACATTGAGGTTGATTGTCACTTTATTCACCATCATGTTGCATAAGGAACTATTCATTTAGTTTTCGTTTGCTCCATTGATCAACCAGTAGATCTCTTTACCAAGGCTCATTTTCCTGGACGCTTTCGTACTCTTCTTTCCAAACTCAAGTTGGTTTCATCATAACCACCTTGAGTTTGGGGGGGATGTTAAGATGTGAACACAAGTATATTTAGAATTATTGTAAATATTTTATACTTTAAAATATTCTCTTTATATACTTTATACCTTATAACATTCTTTTTGTAAACACCTATATATAGGTCATTGTACATACAATATGATTCAAGAAAGCAATAAACCTTTCTTCAAATTATTCTTCTTTTTTGTTTTCTAACAATTGTGATGCTACTAAGAATTTGAAATCATTTCCTTAAAACTGCTTATTTTCCTATTGATAAGAAAAACTGCTCATTTTCCAAATATCTTGTATATATAGGATTGGAAGGTAGCTGCTTAGTTTATAGAGGTTTGAACCTCACCTTAATCTGAATCAAAGTTGTTTAGTTAGTCCGCTCAAATTCAGTTAAGCTCTTTGGTCTCATACCCTATTTTTTATACATATTTTACTCATTTCTTCTGAGTCCTTGTGATTGTTTTTATGGTTCTAAAGGAGTCATATATCCGGACCCAAGGAGATCCTTACTTTGATGGTCTGCTAAGACTTGATGGAGTAGGTAGCCCCAGAACTTCATAATCTAAACCAGGTATGGGTGACAAAATTAGGCACAAAAGACTGGAACATGACATATCTAGAGAAGTTATGGATTCGCCATTAGATGATTCAGTTTCAGGTGTTATTCATGAATTTTTTGCTTAAGATATATCAAAGAGTTGGTCAAGGAGTGCAAAAATAGCTCCAGTGGAATTGCATAGTATTCAATAAGATTTGAGCGTTGATGTTGGTGATCCAAATGATGGAATAAAAGACTTCAACAATTGCACAACCTCTGAAGCAACAGAATCTTGCCCTCCTTTACCTACAGTAGCAAGACCTGTAGTTGAAAAAACCTATAGCGTTAACAAGAGTAAAACAGACTTGTCAAGAATTCCACTTCCTCAGTCAGTAGTATCATATTTCAATGGGCACTCACTACAAATGGAAATTGTAGAGTCCTATGAAAGCATTAACCGTCTTAATTTATTTCTGAAATCTATAAGGGATGGCATTAATTAATTGTGGTGTCCCAAGAAGATTCTTGCATGCTGTAATTGGGCAAGATGTCTTTGGTAATTCTCTTTAGTTTGCTCTTATAAAACAATTTTTTTACTAGGTCCTAAAGTCTTGGAATATTTAGAAGCCAAAGAGAAAAACAACAAAATGTGCCAAATTCATGTCAATTATATAATAACACTACTAATTAGCCTGCCAGATACAACCTTACGAATTTGGTAAAGAATATAGCTGCTAGAATGAGATTTACTAAAGAACCTATATAGACATGGCTTCTTTGTACAAGTTTACAAAAATGTTGAATGATAAAGATCTTTGGTAACTTGGTTTGTGTTTACATTGGCAATTGACTTATAAATGATTTTTTATGACTACATTCTTCTAAGTTGTTAGATGATAATTTGTAGATGTCGGTTCTGTTGCTTCAGCTATCATTTATGCCTTCTACTTGAATAGAACACTTGAAAATGATGAGTTCTTCACTGTTCCTATCATCAACATGCATCGAGCAGAGTTGAGTTCACATGCTGAACTAATATGGTTGCTTGATTCATGTCAAATAGATCAGTCATCCTTAATCTATTTTGATGAAGTATGTTTTATTTTATTGTTCACCTTCTTACATTAGGTTGATCTTTTTGAATCTCATTGAGTTAATTGTGCCACAAGCACAATTGAGGGCTCAAAATAACCTAACTAAAATTGCACAATTGTTTATTATCTAATTAGCTTAGTGGTATGTGCATCATTCCTATCTCATATTTTGTTTATCTAATTCCAATGACGAGCCAACAAAAGTATAGAAAACATTACCTACACTGGGATAGATTAATTTCATGAGTTAAGTTTATTATGGAAACAAATCCTGTCATCAATTCTAGCAATCCCAGCTCATGAAATCATGACAACAAGACTCATCTTGGAAATTGTATATTCAGTATTATATGCAGCATAATAGTCACACATTTAAATTGTATATACTCCATTATTGTATTTATCTTTAGTTTCCTTGTGCAATTACAAACTCTTGTATATATGTGGTTCAATAATATGAATAAACTTCATCATTTTCCAATCACAAAAGCTTGTTCTGTTAATGGTATCAGAACTAAAATCTCAAACGAGACTAGTACCCAACAACCATGGCCGATGAAACACCCAAAACCACAGAATCTAAAACCCAAAAGTCAAGTAATGGCAAAATTGTGATAACCACACCTGCTTTTATCAACACTAATACCAGTTCAAACAACATAATAGCTTTCATTGCTGCCCAATTTCTAATCAAACTCACCTCCAATAATTACACCATGTGGAGCTGATAATTCACCTCACTACTTCGAGTTTATTGACTGACTGATTTTTTGCAAGGCACTAGGCCATGTACTCCAAAGGATGACTTGCCCGACTCACCATATGATCTATGGGTGAGGCAAGATCAATCAATACAACATGCAATTCTGACTTCACTATAGAATCTATCCACCTGTATGTCTCTAGTGTTGAGATGTCGCATGAAGCTTGGGTGATACTTGAAAGGCTTTATGCAAATAGCTCTTGTACAAGAGTAAATGCACTGAAAGAGAGGCTACAAAACCTTTGATGTGAAGGCCAAGCGATAGAAAAATATCTTCGTAGCACAAATATCCTGATTGATTGAATTGGAAATGCAGAAAAGGTACCCCTAAGCAACTTTGATATTCAAGTTTATCTTTTTAATGGTTTGGGACATGAATATAGGGAATTCAAGGCTTCAATTCGAGCCCGTGATGGACCCCCACTGTCATTCGAAGATTTATAAGATAGACTATTAGCTCACAAAGAGTCCTTACAAAGAAAGGAGACCCTTGTCGATGAAACTAATACACCCATAACAGCACAATTTCCTTTTGTGCATCCTCCATTGGTTGGAAACCATAGCAACTATGGTGGCTTCAGTGACCAAAATTCAATAGGTGTTCATCACAATTCTAATGGGCTCCAAGAATACTCAAACCAAACTTATAGGCCCAATTTTGCATTTGTTTCTTTACATTATGGCACCAACCAATTTAATGGATATGTTGCAATGGGTCATGGAGGAGGTCGAGGACATCATGGAGCTCGAGGATGAAAAAATAATTGGAATTCCTCCAAGAGGTATGATAGTCACCATACTAATGCTCGTCAATTGTGTAATAATTTTGGACATTTTGCTAGGAACTGTCTAGAGCTCAAAAATCACACTCATGTTGCCAACTTTGCGACAACTTCTAGGGTGATTGGTGGATAGATTATGGAGCCTCTGTTCATGTTACTTTTGACTTGGCAAACTTGGCACTTCACTAAGAATATGACAAGCCTAATGAACTGCTCATTGGCGATGGATCAAGTTTGACTGTTTCACATGTGGGTCATACCACACTTTTAACCAAAACTAAGCCTTTAACCTTAAAAAATGTTTTGTGTGTACCTCATGCCTCGCGAAACTTGATCTCTATTTCCAAATTATGTTAAAATAATAATGTGTTGATTGAGTTTCATTGTGATTATTTTCTTGTGAAGGACTACACTAAAAGAGCGACACTTCTTCGAGGACCCAATCAACATGGCGTGTACCGGCTACCAAGTCAAAGTCCAATGGCACTAATTGGTGAAAGAACGTCCATCATGGATTGGATTGCAAGATTGGGACATCTTTCATCAAAAACTCTAAATAAAACTATCAGTAGTGCTGCTCTATCACTTTCTAATAAATCTAAGTCTTCCTTATGTGAGTCATGTTTATGTGCCAAAAGTCACAAGTTACTTTTTGGAGTGTCTTCTATTTCAACTAATAAACATTTGGAAGTAATATTTTTAGATGTTTGCAGCCCAGCTCCTTCAATGTTTATTGATGGTTTTTTTTATTATGTGATTTTTGTAGATTTATTTAGTCATTATATTTGGATCTTTCCTATTAAACAAAAATCTGAAGTTGCCTTAATTTTTCAAAAATTTCACACTCTTGGTCGAAAATCAATTTGGAACCACAATTAAATTCTTTCATTCTGATGGTGGTGGGGAATATCTTGCCTTACGTGATTTTTTCCAAACAATTGGGATCTCACACTTTACTACCCTACCTTATACACCATAACTTAATAGCATTAGTGAACGTAGGACTCGTCACATTGTGGAAACAAGTCTAGCTCTCTTACAAGTTGCATCACTTCCTCCACAGTTTTGGAGTCATGCTTTTACAACTATTGTGTATCTCATTAACTGTCTTCCGAGACCTACTACCACCTCCCTTTTGAAAAATTATTTCTAGTCAAACCTAGTTACCTTAAGCTCCAGGTTTTTGGCTGCACTTGTAATCCATGGCTATGCCTATACAACTCTAATAAACTATAACCTCGCTCTCGGAAATGTGTTTTTCTCGATTATTCTTGATCACCTTGGGTATAAATGTTTTGATTCTTCAATTGGAAAATTTTTTCTTTCTCAGCATGTTATTTTTGATGAGCATGACTTCTTTTTTTGCTAACCTCCTCCCCTTGCAGCCGGTACCACCTTGTTTCAGGCTTGTCCTCAAGCAGCAACTCCTAGTGCGGCCTCCTCAAAAATTAATCAAGTATGCTCCCTTAACTCTTCCTCTATTTCTCCCTTGGCCCATGACCTTACCTCTTCACCCATTCTATTACCTGCCCACAACTCCACACTCTCACAAATCCAACATTATCCTCCCTTTAGGTCAATTGCCCAGCCATCTCCAAACTCCAAGCCTAACACAAACTTCGTGTCTCCTCAGCCTCCTTCCACTTTGCCCTCATCTCCTAGTGCAAGCTCATCGCTTATGCCCACCCATGCCACCTTTATTTCTCCCCCTTTCGACTCCACTGTCGACTCACCTCCAACCCCACACCAACCTCTTGTCCCCCACGCACCCATGGCATGATCACTAGGTCTCAGAACAATATCTTTAGACCCAAAGCCTTGAAGCATCCCCAGTGGCATAAAGCTATGTCTGATGAGTTTAATGCCTTGGTGAGACAGGGTATTTGGGACTTAGTTCCCTCTAGTGATCATCAAAATGTCATTGGCAGAGAGTAGGTATTCCGAATTAAATGTAACAAAGAAGGTAAAGTGGCAAGGTATAAAGCTCGTCTTGTGGTCAAAGAATTTCACCAATGATATGGTTCTTATTACTTTAATACTTTCAATCCTGTTATTAAACCTATTACTATCATAATTGTTCTTTCTCTAGCACTTAATCAAAATTGACCTATTCGTCAACTAGATATTAATAATGCTTTTCTCCATGAGAAGTTTGAAGAAGAACTATTTATGACCCAACCACCTAGATTTATTGATGCTAGCTTACCCTAGCATGTTTGCCAACTTCGGAAATCTATATATAGACTAAAACAGGCCCCTTGCACCTAGTTTAAGGAGTGAAAAATATTTTGCTTTCTTAAGGGTTCCAAAATTCCAGATCAGATACCTCTTTTTTTATATGTTGTCATCGCTCCGATTGCTTAAATTTTTTGGTTTATGTTGATGATATGGTTGTGACTGGCAGCAACCCAAAGTTAGTTGATTTGTTGATCATGTTAATGGGGAACACCTTTTCTATCAAAGATCTTGGTCCTCTTAATTACTTTTTGGGTGTTAATGCCATTTCACTCCTGCAGGCCTTTTTCTTTCATAGGCTTAGTACATTCATGATTTGCTGGATAAATTTAGCATGGCTGAGGCTAAACCGGTTTCCTCCCCTATAGCTACTACAGCTCTTCAGTTGCACCAAGGTCTCAAACTCTCAAATCCTTCTTCCTGTCGGCGCCTTGTTGGCTCTTTGCAATATCTTAATCTCACTCGACCGAACATTACCTTTGCTGTCAATCGTCTCTCCCAGTTCCTTCATGCTCCATTTGATGTCCATATGCAGGCAGCCAAGCGTATACTCCGCTATCTCAAAGGGTCTGTCTTTCATGGGCTTTTACTCCACCGGCAACCTCTGTCTCCTCTTCATGCTTTTTCTGATTCTGATTGGGCCGGTGACAAGGATACTCTTCAGTCCACCACCGGCTTCATTGTGTTCTTGGGTAGTACTCCAATTTCTTGGAAAGCTTGTAAATAGAAGGCTGTTGCTCATAGTTCAACTGAGGCCGAGAATCGTGCTTTAGCTGCTGCTTTCTCTGAGGTCATTTGGGTCTGTAATCTTATCCGCGAACTGGGTCATCCTGTCTCCTACCCGCCTGCACTATGCTGTGATAATATTGGCGCCACTCATCTTAGTAGCTATCCAATAATGCATACCCGCATAAAGCACATTGCCATCGATCTTCATTTTGTTTGTGAATTAGTGGATTGAAAGCTGTTACAGGTCAGTCACATCTCCATTGTTGACCGGCTTGCTGATGGGCTTATATGCAGCATATCAGTCACACGTTTAAATTGTATATACTCCATTATTGTATATATCTTTAGTTCCTTGTGTTACTGCAAACTCTTGTATATGCGTGGTTCAGTAATATGAATAAACTTCATCGTTTTCCAGTCACAAAAGCTTGTTCTATTGAAGTTCAGATACCAAGAGTTGGATTCTTCCATCTGCAAATCATGTCTTAGAGTTTGATCCTACTACTTTAGAGATGTAAGGGTTCAAATATCATTGATATTTATTGACTCAACCGGAAAGTTCTTTTTCCTGAATGGCGAAATATTGAGCGGATTGATCTGTCATATTGTAACCTGTTTGAGAGTCTTATGCTAGTTTTATTGAATGGTCCCAAGCTCCCATGCATCCAAACAAGAGGTAACATTTCATTTAAAACATTGACTTAAGTCTCAGTAATAATCAGCAGAAATGATAGACTTTTTCTTCCTTCTACAAGGCACTAAAAGAGGCTGCAATCGAAATTTTCAGTTGCGGAAAGGTAAGTTAGTCTTGCCTAGTGCTTTGTTAACCTTGTTCTCAAGCTATTTTTTGCTATATTTTTCAATATGAAAATGATAATTGCTTGGATGGTTTAACGTGTTTATGCTGCCTTTTTCTTTAGTGGATTTCTTTTTCTTCTTTGTTAGAATGTCATTTCATGGTTCTGTCATGAATGGAGCTAGGGTGTAAAAGAACGATTTGTGAAGTTTAAGGTTGTAGATGCTAAGATTTAAACAATTTGTTGTAAGGACCAATACATGCAGCTATTCTTCACAAATCAAGTTGCTTACTTCTAAGTGAGATAGCATAATTTAAGCTATGTTGATTATGGTCAGTTAATGCCAACCCTGAAGGTTGAAGTTATGAATTCAACTAAAATAGGCTTAAGAGGATAAACGAGATCCTGATTCTATATTAAGATTCTTACATTTTTTTGTATACCTTACAAGACATATATACCTGCTGTCCTCACAAACCAGTCTTGTGGTTGTTTTTGCTTTATTTACATCTATATTCAGGACTGCCCATCATGTTGTGCGCTTGTTGCTGAGAAGTTTGCAATGACTTCGCCTAGGATTTTGCCAGGACAAAGATTCGGTCGACTATTGGTACTTGAAACAAATCATGAATCTTCAAAATCGTTACCCTTTTTTTTCCCCATGTTTTTCTGTTATGTTTTTATTTTCAGCATTAGTTAAATTCTCTCCTCTTGAAGCAAATTCAAGATTGAAATACTTTAATCTAATTTAAATTGGATTTATTAGGTAATCTATGTTTTTCAGAAATCAACTATGACGTGTGTAGTAGAATTCATTACATGCACTCTATCTTTGTCTTATCATTCCTTTGAAATACCACTTGAGTTGTTTTGGATTGATTGAATATCATACTTTTAAGTTAAATTCTCCGTCTGCTGCCACTTAGCTTTATCTCGGTTATTTTTTGCTCTGCCTCTGCCATTTGTTTCAGCTTGCTGGCATCCTGTAAGACACTGGAAACCTTTCAAGCCCTCACTGTACGTCCAAAGATAAATACATGGCTACATTGTTGATCAATGGTGCTGGTCGTTTTGGAAGCAATGGTTTTTACCAGATTGGTGAGTTTTGTTTTCTTGTTCTGCATCACTTCTCTATGTATTTTGCTTCTTGCTCCCATCCACCTCCATCTCAGAGAAATCCTTGTTTTCTTATGGTGTGATTTTCTATACCGGAAAGCTAACACCTTGTAACTACACTTATTTATGATTTGCAGTGAGATATAAAATGCATGATGTCTTAGAACTAAGAGTGGCTGATATTTTGCAGAAGGATTTCAAAAAGTGGGCAACAGTAGGTCTGAATTTGCCTCTTCTTTTTCTATTGGTATAATTAAATTATTCTACCATCCCCTTCCTTCAGATATAGCATGTGCATCGATAAATAGTATTTCTTTCTATCATTAACAACGTGTTGGTAAATGAGCTTTTCTTGATATGCCTGGTAACAAGTGCTGGCAATTGTTAGCATTTGTAAAGCATGAAATTTCATATTGGTTCCGTAAATTAGCAATGAATTCCCCTTTTAAGGGTAGTATGATTGGATTCTTTGGCATCCGAAGTGTCACCAATTGCATTCATCAAATTCTTCTTAGAGTAAATGCAAGCAAACTTTTTAGTTTCAGTTCACTGGTAGTGGTTTACCTGTGGTTTTAATGTATGTCTTTTTCTGCTGACAAATTCTCTCTAGGTGTGTAAAGCATTGTGCTGTTTTCCCATTATATCGCTTTGCATTAAATGAAATTTGTTAATTGAGCCAGGTAAGCGAGACAACAATGCTGCTTCGAGATTAATGGTTTCACATGTTGGGATGAGTTCCGTTGGGATCTCAGTTGAGCAACTACTTGCTCAAGAGGTTACATCTACTAAAGAAATAGTACTTCTTCAGCGCGAGTTGAATATATGTTCTACATCATTTTATAGATTCTATACAAAATTGATTCAGCACATGCTATGATGTCTATCATTTTCTTGTTGTTTCTTTGAAAGCTAAATAAAGGGGCATTTCTTTAAGGATAAAATGGCATTATCCCTTTGTCAAACGATACCTCTAAGCTTTCATTGGCAGCTACCTCTTCTAATGTTTATTTCCATGGATGTTGTCAAGTGGGAAAATCCCCCTTTGGTCAATTAAGCATCGTCCTGTGGACTTAAATGGACTTAAATACAGTATGAGCCTCACCACTTATCGTCAAATATTGGTTTTAAGTTGATGCTAATAGAAGTTATAAACTTTTATATGACCTTATTGCTTTCAAACAAACTAAATCATGAAATTTGCCTTAAGCAGAAGAAGCATGAGCTGTGAAATATAACCTCATGCACTCAATCGTGCCCCAACTTGATTTAGCATCATCACCTCTATGTCAGCCTTCCCCTACCAATATATAGCCTAGAATGGGCTCTATCCTAGCAGCTTGTTGAGAAAGTAGCTTGCCTGGATACTGCAAATGTGAGACATGTACCTGGAAGTTCAGCCCATACCCTCAATCTGTGCCTTTGCCAGGGGGCTGGCAATTTCCAAGTGCCAAATGGATTATTATCATGAAAAGCTATTGGGAAGAAATCTGAATTTAAGCTCTTGATTTGTCCCACCAAAAACATTGAAGCACCAGCTCAACTTCCATCTCTGACCATAAAGTTTATGTTTGGTCAGAAGTAATGACTATCCCTTGGTCACTACTTATGAAACCAAGAATATGCATTCCTTAAGACTGATAATTTTCTTTTAGATTAGAGGAAAAGGGGGAGATGGTAATAGTTATTCCTCAATAATCCACAAATTTAGTATAATATAATTAATCTTAAGGCTTAGTTATTTTTAACTTTTTATGTGAGCTCCTCAATTATAGTTTGATTAAAAAATTAATATTACTCTTGACCGAAGAAAACCAAAGTATATGTACATCTACAAACTATTTCTTTATTGCTTTTTTGGCATTACGTTTAATTGAACAAGCCTTTTATTTTCATTATACTAATGACCCCTAATTGAATTTAAATTCCTTGTTGTCAAACTTCAGAAATGGAGAAACTTCATCTGCCCGTGATTGTCGCAGGTTACTATGGTCCACATAAGAATTTCAAGGTTTCAATTTCTTAATAACACATTTATTTAAGTTTTATTTGATTTGACCATTAGGAGGAGCTGATAGTTGTGGTTTTGTGGTTGTTAGCTCATACCTAATAGAAGGACAATATCTATACTTTAACATTTAAAATTAACTTACAAGTTAATATTTCCAAACACCTCAATCAGTTGTTTAAAGAAAAAAGTTATAGACAGATAAAATTAGTCAAATCAAACAAACCTTGAACCTTTTTTTTAGAGTTATATCTATTACTTAAATATTTTGAAATTTGTTTATAAACTAATATTTTCTAAACCCCAACAAGTTGTTTAAGGGTAAAAAGATATGGTAGATAAAATTAGGCAAACTAAACAAACCTTAAACTTTTTTCTTGAGAGTTACGGAGCCAAGTAATTTCATGTAATTGTGTTGGATTGGAATTGCCATTTATTATAAAAAATATACTTATTATATTTTTAACTTATAATCTTATCGTGCAGACAAACCCATTAAACAATTAACCTAAGTGAATAAAAGTGTGTTTGAAATTGTTATAAACTGCTATAATTATAGTTGTGACTATAGTTGTAGCTATAATTGTAACTGTATTAAATTATGTTGTGCTATAATTATAATTGAAAGTTATTTTGATATTTGATTATTATTTTTTAAAAATATTATAAATGAAATATAGTAAATTTTATTAATTATTAATTAAAATTTAAAAAATATTGTAAAATATATAATTATTAAAATAGATAATATTTATTTTTTTATTAATTTAAACTTTTTAGATTTGATATCATTATTAAAATATTATAAATTATGATATAATTAAATTATACAAATTAGATTTTAATAAATCATTTTTAAATTATATTAAATATTAAATATTAAATATTCTCTATAAAAATCACAAGAACTCCAAAATGAGATTTATGGGTTTATATATATAATTATGTAAATTTACAGTAATTTTTTATAATAAAAAAATTATCAACCATATAAATATTTTAAAATATTATACAACTAAAAAAAAAAGGAAAAAAAAAAACCCTCAAACACAGTCTCTAACCCAAACGCATCCTATGTCTCGTTGGACTCCCAGTTTCTTCATATTCCAGTCTCTTAAAACGTATTATAAGTGTATAAATTAACACCGAGTACGAGGGGAAAAGCATCAGAAACAGAACAGAAAAGGCAAAGCAATAAAACGTATTGTTAATTCTCTCTTGTAATGAAGAAGCCAGAGCTCGTCTTCATCCCC